AACTTCTTTCTTCTCAAGTTTGGCTGGTTTGTCAGAGAGCAAGGTGAAACTTAACCTGAGACGCAACAGTTGCATTATGAACTCGGTTTCATTAATGAGTGCTCAGATTCCAGCAGGAAAGAAAACTGAGTAGTCATTGTGAACAGAAAACCAAATATGGTTAATGTAATAATGACTAAAAGCATAAGTTGTGCAATAAAACCTTGTTTATTATGTGGGTTCATACAATAGTATAGTTTAACAAGAGATACCGTCTGCTGATAAATTCACTGCAAATCCATTCACTATCCTTTGATGTGTACACAATTTCCCTCTCCTACCTTATGGATAGTTTCACAGGCTGGTATATATTTTATAATGTTTAGAAACACATACACATATTTATACTTGTGGACAGCACTCCAGCAGAACTAAGAAGGATCGGCATCCCCTAACATTTGGCTTTGAAGGGCATTTCTGGCCATGGCTCTTGGATCCAGCAGGGTGCTTGAAGACTATAGAACAGGATGAAGAAACACACGACACTCTGTATGCTGTTGAGATGCAACTTATCAGTCAAAGTTGCAAGGATAAGAAGTCTGACAACATCTTGAACATCACATCTTCTCATCTCTGTTTACAGATATTAGCTATCCTTATGCAACAAATTTCCTAGTGGCTTCATGGATACAATAAGGATGGGTCCTTTCAGTCTGGATACAGTACTGCTAGATCAGGGATAGGCAAAGTGTGGCTTAGGAATATGTGTGCCACCCCCAGGACTTTTTTTGGCCATTGATCCCTCAAGGTTTCTCTTTTTATGGTAGGGGCGAGATGAATTACCTCCCCTGGAAGCTTCATGGACAATTCACCTTTTAAATAGGTTATTCATACACTCTGTGCAGTGTTCAATGTGAATTTTTCAAAAACCAAGTAGACCTCTGGCCATGTTGACTTTTGCTTCCTTCCACTCTGGCTGCTATAGAAAACTGCTCCCGACCTTGGAAGTTGTCCATTCCTGTTCTCAAGCTAGCTGCATTCTCATTTTTGTCCTGATTTGCCATCAACTTTAGACAATGCTATAAATAAGAGCTTGGTCACCAACGGCAATGCTCTTGTGGCTTCCTTTATTGAATCATTCAATCTACAAAGTGGTCTTCTTTCTCTTTCTCTTTCATCATTGCCACATTGTAAACAAGACCTTGCCAGTAAAATTAATCTCACTGAATCTCACTTCCCTTTGTTTTTGTACTGCAATTCTGTAGGCTTATTAAAAAGAATCAAATATTTTGTGAGAAATATATCATCCACAGCTATATACCACAATTATGTTTGTGTATGAGTGCTTATCAGCTCGTCTCAATTCTCCTTCGTATTTCCTTTGTAGCTATTTACAGTTATTTATGCTAGCAAAACTTGGGAAAGAACAGCCAAATATTCTAAGAAAGTACAATCAATGCTCTTCCCTCCATTGAGTCTCTTGTGGAAAGAAGTTAGCCATTTGTTTGGAACAGACAAAGCAGCTTGCTCACATGGCAACCACATCTGGAAACATTTTAAAGAGTTTTTGTTGTAAGACACTATTGTTTCTTTTCCGGGTCTCTTGTTCTGCCATCACCATAGTTCTCAGGAAAATTTTGCTCAGTAGACTTGAGGAGTCACATTCCTCAGAATCCTATTTTGATTGAAGTTCACATGTAAACCAGAGCCAGCATGGTGTAGCGGTTTGAGCGTTCAACTATGATTCTGGAGACCAGGGTTTGATTTCCTGCTTGGCCATAGAAACCTTTCACAATCTTGAGAAAATCACATCCTCTCAGCCCCCCAAAACTCATGACAGGGTTGCTGTAGAATTGCCATAAGTCTGAAATGACTTCAAGGCACACAATCCCAGCAGATACATATCAATACGAGAAATCTGGACTCAGATGTCAGGTGAGTTGATTCCATAACAGATGGATTAAATCCTTGGTTTAGTGCTATAGGGTGACAGTCTTAATTAGAAGCTTACTTGTGACCTGGAGCTGTCCCATCTCATGGGTACAAATCCTGCTTCCTTATGCATGCTAACACATATTTCTAATCTGTGCTTAACACTGAAGACAGCCAGAGACATTGATCAATGCCCATATTATGTCTGAAGCTCATGTTTCACAAATGGAAAGCCAAACACTGACAGGAGATGGTCATTTTCACACAGCTCCATTTTGTATCGGGTGTGTCCGGACTCTGTAAATGATCACTGCTGTCGCTGGACACAACAGAAGGGATGTCATGACAATGATGGTGGCCAAGATGATCAGGACAATAACCCATACATCCAAAATGTGCTTCGGAAGCGGCAGTTGTGTAGGTGCAACGGCATCCATCGTTTTTATTCCTCCTCTTCTGTCTGAAAGGGAAAAAAGGAGGAAAATTTTAATTTAATAGGACCCTGAGCAAACACAATCCCAATTACAATTGTCACAAAAATGTTTCCTTTTCCCACCGCAGAAACAGAATAACTTGCAGCTCATTTTAAGCCACATAGAACATTTTTATCCTGGCTTTAATTTAAGTCCAAATTCCAAGAATTAGGTAGGGCAAAGCAATCCTAGATGGGATTGCTGAGAAGCAAGTTCCACATACTCATGGCTAGAATTGTCATCTGAATTATCAAAGCACAGCATTTCTATGTGGCTTCAATGGGACAGATCACTTCTGTGAACATTATTTGCCACACAAAAATTGGTGTCACTCATTGCAGTATGGCTTGCTGCAATGTCTAGTATGTTGCATAAACATGTTGGAAAGTCCGGTTCTAATACCTATATGGTGAACTGATGGTTTTAGTCAAGCTATCACCTTCCTCACCTAACCAACACAGTGGACTATTTGTACAAAATGTAGAATACAGTGTTATTTTTTTCACCCATGTTCGGGCAGGGTTCAGTTTCCAGTCTGTTTTGTTTCTTTACATATGAAAGTGGCTACCATCTTCTCCATCACTTCAAGCTGAAAGTTTCTTTGCCTAGCTTTGGACAAAGGTATGCATAATAGATGTTCTTCATTCAAGACCACTGTGCATTCACAGAAAAGCACAGAAGTATTTCTTCTGCAAAGGCGATAACTTGTTGTATAAGACTAAAGTACTATAATACAATCAACATTTAGAAGTCTGCATGAGAGGATCAATGCTGGTTGGAAGGCAGTTCTTAGCAACCGACACAGACTCTCAGTACAATATCTTAAGCTGCATGGCTGCACAACTCTGTATTTTATTTTTTTTAAAAAAAACTTAGAAGAGAGGAGAGCTTTAGCAAGAACTAAATGTACTCTGATAAAATGATGTAAAATGCTGAGTGCTCATTTGCACTTATTGTATGTGGTTATTACTGTAATTGCACTATTGTTGTACAGTATGAGTAAGAAAAAACACACTCTTGCACTTCAGTTACTGATTTAGTAGATGAGAGGAAATTTCTAAAGCTAATGTTTTAATATGTAAGGGTGCAACATGCCCTTTAATTTAATGTCCAGATTGTTCCTGCATATCATAGGCTGTAAAATAAAACATGATTATCTAATAGTACAATTAATGTATTTTTAATGCTGTACAAAATGCTTTTATTTCTCCAGTCTTCTTATAGATGGTGTGATTCATTATATTTGGGTTTTTATTTTATCATTATTTTGCCTTTTTATTGTTTTGTAAACCAAACCAGAAGCACTGAGGAAATATGTCATATACAGTCCGTACTCTGGATCAATCAATTCAACCATTTTGGGGGGAAATTCCCCTTTCCTATCCCCAAAATTCCAAAAAGTAATGCTTGATTTGGCCATTTTATGTAACTGATGCCATTTTACTATATTACTGCATATAATAGGACTTGAGCATCCACAGATTTTTGGTATCAATTGGGTTCTGGAACCAAATCCCAGGAGATACCAAGCATCCACTGTAAATGAAATATCTCTTCTTATATGAGCCTGTGCAAGCTCTTAAGATCCTCACCTGTAGGGGACTTCTCTCTTTACCAGTATATCTGATGGGAACATGTGAGATAGCTTTGTGACTTCTCCCAGACTTTGGAATTCCCTCCTACTAGACACTACAACAGCTCACTCCTTCCTATTCATCTTTGACAAATGAAAACTTTTCTATGCCAACACGTTATGAAGAATTGACTGTAAGAGCTTTTAACAATATGCTATTTGTCTTCTGCTAGCCACAACTTGGCTTCCCCATCTGTCTCTCTCTCAACAGCTGTGTACAATGACAGGATACACTTTATTGTGTTATTGCATTTATTGCAGAAACAGACTGAATGGACTTTAGTAAGAAGCCATGTTCAATGGTTTGCTGCCCACAGGCAATGGGACATCTGTTTTTTTCATCTAGCAGGTATATTTCAAGGAATCACAGAATTGCCAGAATTTCAAATCACATGTCCTGTCTCTTTTGTATATTTTAACTACAGTAGTCACTGACGCAAAAGTAATGTTGTGGCATCTTCCACCTAGATTCAGAAGCCTAGAGGCAATCTGAATATACTTAATGATGACTACCTGAGTCATGAAATTAATACCTTGTAAAGTAATGACGCATCAGATGACACCAGCAGTACACCAGCCCTTGCCAGGTAAATACACTTTACATACTCTGCTCTGTGGCCTTTCCCCCATCCCACCCAATAACAATGAGCTGTTTTCTTTCATCTCTTTCCAGCTGGGTATGCTCTCATCAACGAGCCATCCATTCATTATTTCTACATGAGAGCCGGAACCAACAATCCTGTTATTTTCACAGTTTCATGATCTGATATGCCAGCAGGATATCAAAATAAGGTATAGGTCACCCCTTTGTTAATAGACAGGATTAAAGTATGCCAAAGATTATCCCTTGGCTCATCCTTTAAAACAAACACCACAGAGGTGCTCATCCTTCATCTATCTATCTATCTATCTATCTATCTATCTATCTATCTATCTATCTACCTACCTACCTACCTACCTACCTATCTATCTATCTGGAGTTACACTTAAAAACTGTACCTGTTCCAACTTACATACAAATTCAACTTAAGAATAAACTTATAGAACCTATCTTGTTCATAACTTGGCTATGGCCTGTAGTTCAGGGGGGAAAAGAAAAGCAATGTAATTATTTATCTGTTTGCTGTTGTCATCTGCAGCATGCATCATAAACCACTGAATACAGCTGTGGCTTGTTCTTGCAGTTGAAGACACACTTTTTCCCCCTTGCTTTCTCATTTTCCCTCCTGCATATCCCACCCACACGCTCCTTCAGCATTTCCTTTGATCAGTTCATTAAATATGTAAATCTCCTATGTCCTATTCATGCATTCAAATTCAATTTTAAAGCACACATACAGAGGGAGGACAGAGCTGAGAAAATTTTCTCCTGGGACTACAACTCCTAGAATCCTCCACAGCCACCAGCATCACCAGTTAGAGAAATCTAGGAATCGAGGTCTATAACAAGTAACTTTTCCAAGTTCTGGATCTGAATATTTAAATACTATAAAATCATTTTAAAGGGCACTGTACTGTTAGTTTTGAACATCTCTAGCAGTGAAACAGTAACATTTTAATAAGATCAGGGGTGTGGAAATAAATTCACAATACATCTGCTACGGACATAATTGATTAAAGACCTCATCACACTAGAGAATGAATCCACTCAATGCAGAGTATCCTGTGGTTTTTAATTTGGTGATGTACCTGTGACAAGGGCAAACACCTTGCAAAATTCAAATCCCCATAGAACTAAGCCACGGCAGTTAAAGTGTTGTCAAAGTGCATTAATTCTACAACGTAGAGGCATGCACACTTTATCACACTAGAGAATGAATCTACTTTAAATCCGGTTTCTGCCTCTTGCAGAATTCTGGACCCCTCCCTAATCTACAAACCTCAGAATTCTGCAGGAGGCACAAACCGGATTTAAAGTGGATTCATTCTCTAGTGTGGTGAGGTCATTTAAGAAGACTTCTGGGAGTGCAGGAAAACCTGTTTAATTTGGGATTCAAATTTCTCAGCAGATGCTATTTTGCAGCTTTCCACGTCAGCATATTACATGGAATAAACTCTTCCCATGCCACAGACAGGCTAAGGCACGTTTTAGTAGAAGTACCCCCTGGCAAAACTCCTGCTGAAGTTAAATATTATGCATCCAGTGTCACAGAGATTCAACAAATAGGACAGGAAATGTCTTCTGGGTTCAGTTTGCAGAAAAATGCATTATTCCTGCCATTATTTGGACAGAACTTCCTGCCAAGCAGTAATCTAAAATCTTATTTGCTCTAAATGAAATGTGGTTATTCCTTACAATGACAAGTGCTTCATGAGTGCTCTGAACTCACTGACTCACAAGGTATTCTCTCATTGTATGAGCAATTTCAGGAAACAAACTTGTTTTACTCACAGCGCATCCCTAAATATGAATCAGCAATTCATTTTGACTCACACTAAGATAAGTGTACATAGGGCTTCAGCCTAAGATGCCTTAATCTCCATTCATCACACACATAAATCAACAGAATCCACCTAACATCTCCCCTTTTATTCCTATGTATGCATGTGTATTCAGGAGGGAAGTGGGTGGTGATTTTTGAGGATCACGTCTCCCACTGCTGTGTATCTCCTCTTGATCTATATCTAGACCACATGAACTTACAACAGACTAAGTTAGGTATGCCTCAGTTAATAAAGTCAATGAGTTTCTGTGCACTCATTCTGTAAGAGAAAAGTCAGTACTAGTGGCAGAAATAACATGGAAATAAGAAGGTTTGGTTCCTTCACTACAAAAAAGAAGAGCAGTTGAACATGGTTCAGCATATTCAGGTTGAGTCAGTGAATCATGTGGCTTTCCAGAAGGACTATAGTTCCCACTGTCTCTTAGCAGCAACCACTACAATTTAACATAAAGGACAGGTATATCTTCCAAACTGCAAAATACAGAGAGGAGATTCAATAGAAACTGGAGTCTTCCCCTGGGATAGGGGTTAGTATAATTCATTACTCTCAGGGAAGCCTCCCACAGGATGGTAAGACATCAAACATCCAGGCATCCCTAGGCAACATCTCTGCAGACAGCCAATTCTCTCACATCAGGACTTGCAGCTTCTCAAGTAGCTCCTGACACACACACACACAAAATCACTCTCGGCGCTCTACCACATGAAGCAGTCATAATTTAGGGCTAATGTATTGGTAGATACAGTGCTCTACAGCCTTTCAGATGCTGATCTGTAAATCTAAGCTTGTTTCATCACTGGTTAGGTTGACCAAGGCTCAACATCTGTTGGGATGCACTCCTGTTCTACTAGGTAGATCAACTTTATCCTTCCACATTGGCTGTGTTGACTCAAGATGATGGAACAGATT